TTCAACTTAGGGCTGGGGATGTGGCTCAAGCGGTAGCGTGTTCGCCTCGCATGCGTGCGGCCCAGGTTCGATCCTCAGCACCACATACAAACAGAGATGTTGTGTCCGCCGAAAACTAAAAAATAAATATTTAAAAAAAAATTCTTAAAAAAAAAAATTTCAACTTAATTTTCGGACAGGTGCTGGTATCTATCGTTGAGTAACACAACAGGCTGACTACACAAACCTCAAGTTAGTTGCTGCAGGTGGCCTCGGGAAGGTGCCACAGCTAGCTTCCCTGGAGGAGCGAGCCACCTCTGCCGGCCTTTCAGGGGTGTCAGCTCCCTCTGGGTAGGTCTTTGCTAGTTTATCTCTGACACCCACTCTTACCCTCACTGCAGTGTGGTGCCACATGTCCTTCCTTGCTCACCCCCCTGTTCACATGTCCTTGCGTAAAATGACAGTAAGGAGAGGCTAGGTCCAGGGCCTCCGCTCACTGCATCAAACACTGTAGTCAGGGCTGGGTTTTGTCTGATGAAAAACTAAAAGGAAAAAAATGAAAGGAAAATCCCACCACTTCAGAGGAGCTGTGGTAGAGGGAGGAGGTGCCGCTGGCCGCTGGGGCGAGGGATGGGGCGGTAAGAAGCAGTGCTGAGGCGCGGATGCCTGCTGGGGAGTGCAGAAGTAAAAGTGGGCCATCTCGGCAGGAGGACCCAGATCAACGTGGCTGAGGCTTTCAAAGCTTGTAGCCTTGGCTCCTCAGGCAAACCTATTCCTTAAGCATTCAATTTAACACCAGGTATATTGGTACATGTCTGTAATCTCAGCAACTCAGGAGGTGGAGGCAGGAGGATGGCAAGTTCAAGGTCAACCTCAGCAATTTATTGAGACCCTGTCTAAAAATAAAAAAATAAACAAGGACTCAGGATATTGCTTGGAGTAAAGCACCCTGGGTTCAGGCCCCAAAACCACCTACCCCCAATTCAATTTGACTTTCAGACAGATCCTTGAAGGCTATAGAATGCAAACTCAGTTATCTATAGGATACAAAGCTCAGTGCTGGATCTCAGGCATTTTCCATACTTTGTTTCTATGGAAAATTGTTAAAATGAATTCCTCTCACCTCTGGAGGAGAGAGAAGTTGTCATGAATGTTCTAGCTACTAAAGCAGAGCTTGAGGTTGGGTACTGAAAACATGTTAGGTTGAAATAGTAAACAATCTAAGATCTTTCAGGAACTTAGACCAGCAGGCACAGGGATCCCACTCTGGCCTGAAAGGAGCAGGGCTAGCAGAGCAGCTAGGGCCCTGGTGGAAGCGGAGACGGCTATGTTCAGAATGAGCAGGCTGGTAGGTTTCCATGGACAGTTGCGCCCTCGGCTGTCCACTGGCTGCAGGTGGGTTTGGCTGTGGTCTCACGAGTGCCCTTCCCTAGCTGCCATGCATTCTGTGCATCACTGTGGAGAAAATCAGTGACCCCAGGGTCCTGTCTGCTGTGGAGAGCAGGGACTCCTTCCAGTGCTGACCAGCCTCCTCCTGTAGTCAGCCTCCAGGTGACTGAGAAACGCCAGTCTCTGTGACCAGGAGGAGGTGGGCTTTGCAGAGTAATTTACCATGGCAGGCAGACCCTGAGCAGTCTTGGGGGTGCTGAATTTTGAAAACCTAAAAACATTTTTTTTTTCCCTTAAAGCCCAGTACATTCCATTAATTTGACATCCTCAAAAAGTTACAGGAACAGAATTTCACTGAGGCGTTTGGCCTGGACCTAGGAAGGAGGATCAGCTTATCTCTGCAGCTCCCAGCGTGTTGGCAGGTGGGCTCCTACCAGTCTCTGCGGGCCTTTATTTTCAAAACCATTATGCTTTAATCAGCCTTCTGCCCTGCCCTGGCTTTTCCACCCTCAAGTTCAGCCCAGGCCCTTAGGACTGCCCAGGACCTGGCCCTCAGCTCACTTGCTTTCCTCTGGACGGCAGCATTTGTATGCCACGTCAACCTTTCCACAAAAACTCCTCAAGTTTCTTAGATCAGATGGTTTCCATTAAAATCACAGAATAGTCCATGGAACGCGTTAAATTAACCTCAACCAGACAGCCCTGCTCAGCCCCCACCGAGCGCAGTTTAAGGAGAGGACGACTGGTACTTCAGTGTCTTTTCAGTGGCAGTTTGTTAAGATGATTGAGTTACAGTGGTGAGGTGCCTGCCTAGCATGCATGGGGCCTGGAGTTCAACCCCAGTACTACACAGGAATGATATAATGGCCGAGTTCTGAGTTAAGAGGGAGAGACAGCACTTATTTTCCACCTTTGTTCACTGCAGGCTTCCCATTAGAGCTGAGCACTGACCCCAAGGGTACTCACTAGTGATGACCATGATTTTGATTTTCTCTGGCCAAGCTCCACTCAGGCGCCTCTGAGCACATTTTCTCTTGGCACTGGAGCTTGAACCCAGGGGTGATTACACTGAGCTATATCCTCCATCCTTTTTGAGGCAGGGTCTTGCTAAGTTGCTGAGGCTGGCCTTGATCGTATGATTTTCTTGCCTCAACCTCCCAAGTCACTGGGACTACAAGCATGTACCACCACACTCGGCACTGCGCAGTTTTTCAACCAAGGCTTAATTGCCGCAGTCTGGCTGGACACAAAGAACCGAGTTGCCACACAGCCTTGTAGATTCAAACAGCAACCTTTATTCCCGAACTCTCACCGGCACTCTACACACACTTCCCGGGAACACACTGCCTCCACCGGGCTCCGTGCGCCAATTCTCTCAGAACCCAGGGAGAACTCAACGAACTCAAAAGTAGCAGGCGCCTGAGGCAGCAGGATCCGCCCTAATCCCAGAGCAGGGTCACCTTTCAACCATTCCCTCTGGCAAAAATGCCAGGCATCATTCTGACTAAACTGTGGCTCTCAACACTTAATGTTTGGACTTCATATTGTTTCTGCTGATTCAGTTTATCCAGGATCCAGCCCCCTGCCCCATATCTGATTATCCTTACATTGAGCAGGTTCCTCATCCTCCATGTCTACCGGCTCCCCACTTGAGGTCTGATCACCTAGCCTGCCCCCAACAATTATCATTAGGTTGGTTTAGCCAAAGCCCCACTAGTTTGACGTTCCTGTTAGTCCATCCACTGATCCCCACCTTGCTTCCTGACTAGAAACCCACTTTCCTTGTATTTGGTGTTGAGCCCAATTTCTCTGTTTTGCTGCAAAATCCCAAGGAGGTAGTCCCTACATCTTGAAAAAAAGCCATGCCCTGCTCCCAATAAAACTTTGTCTTTTAACAAGTTTCATTAATTTTCTTTAACAGCAAAAATAAGTCTGAGAAAGGAAAAATGAAAATGCTGGTTTTTGTAGCTCTCTTGAATTTCACGAAGATTACCATGTTAAGTCCTTTGGAGCCCAAATGTACTTTCATTTTTCTCATACTGACATTGACCCTGTAAGGCAAGTATTATTCTACTTTTTGGACAAACAGGGTTAGTGTGCTTAGATAACATACTCAAACTCAGAACCTTCTATGTGGCATTTTTTTATCTTAATCCTGTTTCAATGAGTCTCCACTGTGTAGTGCAAGTTTTCACTGGTGTCCCAGAAAATTATATTTCCACGAGATTAATTACATTTAAGTTTCTAGAAAAAAAATCTCTAGTGATGTTAGAAACTCTTTCATCCAGATCATTATTCTGTATTTTAGAAAAGACTTTTAGTATTGACAGCAAACTCAGCCAACTGTATTTTAAGATGATTCGTTATTATTCCTTGGAGGCTAGTGATTTTTTATATTCATTTTTTTAGTTGTAGTTGGGCATAATATCTTTATTTTATTTACTTATTTTTATGTGGTGCTGAGGATCGAACCCAGGGCCTTGCGCGTGCTAGGTGAGCACTCTGCAGCTGAGCCACAACCCCAGCCCGAGATTAGTGATTTTTAACTTGACAGTTTTTGTCACCTGATAAACATCAAAAGGAAGCCTCACTCTCATGTCTGTCCATCACCAGTCACCTTACCCCACACCAGAGGGACTGGAGAAGCTGCTGGCTTCCTCCCAGAGCGCAGCAATGACAGTAGCACCCATGAGTTACCTGCAAGCTCAGTGACACCACTGCTGTTTGTTGTGACCTTGATCTAGCCCTGCAGCCCTCACACCAGCCTCCAGCTCTCCAACTGTGCCACTAACCCATGAGGTCCATCCACTGCCAGGGTTGCAATTCAGTAGCCTTTAGCATGTGTGGAAAGAAACACCAATCAAGAAAAGCAGACTGTTTTTCACATGCTGTAGAAGGGAGTCAGCCTCCACTGACACTTCCATTTTGGCAGACGGAAAGGCAGGCAGAGCAGCAGCTAGGAGAAGCTTCCCAGTGGAGAAAGGCCCTCTCGACAAGACATTTCTGGGGGCCCTTCCTGTGCAGAGCCAGACATTCCAGGACTTACCAAATTTCAAGACATTTGCTTCTTTTGTGACAGCCCCTTTAAAATTAGAAGCCCCAGCCTCCCCTATTTCCTGATAATTGTTTTCTGCAACCGAGTTTCCTCATACTGAGGCTGGAAACGGAGGAACTGGCCCCAGAGCCTGGGCAGGCCCCAAGGAGGGTTGAAAAACTGGAATTGTGAAATCTCTGGCAGCAGGGTCTGGCTGCATATGCACATTTGTTTCCCGGATTTTGTTCCTATACACTGCACCATTATCATAGGATGGGCAGAGGTAGAGTAGCTGCCTTCCTGGTTTTGGCCTAACTGGGATAAAATTCACTTCCCTTTTTGTGTTGCTTTCTCTTATTTCTGATGTGGGTGGGTGACCAAATCTAGTTCATGGGAGCTCCAGCAGGGCCTCTGGCCTGGGGTGCCAGTAAAGTACTATTCTTTCTGTTGATGAGGATATTTATGTCTCCGTTCATAGAAAGCAAAAGGTATAAAATTGACGGCAGTGCCAATAATTCTCATCTATAGATCTGAAAATGAATTTTGTTAACAGGAGATCAAATTGATGTCTGCCCCCTAGGAAAGAAGACTTCAAGCATTGTACTTTATTTTTATTATTTTTAAAAATTATAGTAAAACCAACATAACACAAAATTCACCATTCTGACATTTTGAAGTCATTCACACTGCTGGACAGCTATCACCATGCCCATCTCCGAAGCTCTTGTCTGGTATGAAGGACTGTAAGGGCACCGGGGCGAAGGCCTGATGTGCCACTGGTACGGAGCACTGGAAGGGCAACAGTACAGAGTGATCTTATCCCAGGATGAGCAAGTTGGTAAAATAAAAATCATGACGCCCCCATGTTTGGAAGCTAAAAAATGTATTTCTGAAGAGCCCATGAGTCAGAGAAAAAAATGGCAAAACAAAGTGACATTCTGGATATGGCTGGTTCTGTGGTTTCAACGTGTCCCCAAAGGTCACGCACTGGAGAAGAGTCTGGCCCTGGTGCTCTGGCTCGCTCTCCCTTGCCCTCAGCCTCTGGCCCCGAATGATGCAGCACAAAGGCTCCATGGATGCCAGTACTGGTCTGTCAGCTTTCCCAAACTCCAGGACCACGAGTAATGTAAGTTTCTGTTCACTGTAAGTCACCCAGTCTCAGGTATTCTGTTACAGTAGTAGAAAAAGGACAAAGATAGATGGTAATAAAAAGTAGAGAAAAGGCAGTGTCCGGAGTGCCACACTACTGCCCTTGAACACTCAGATGAAATGACACATCTGTAAAAGTGCTGACACTAACATGTTAAAAAAAAAACAAAACTGTCCATTAAATATTGTGAAATTGAATCTGTAATTAAAAATGTGCCCATGAAAAACCTCCCGTATCATATGACTTCAGAAGTGACTCAAAAAATAAGGAAGTACAATTCCAATCTTTGAGAACTCTTAGAGTAAAAGGTAATGGTACATTTTTTAGTTTGTTTTATGATGCTAGCATCATCCAGACAGCAGAACAAAGACACCAAGAAAAAAGAAAGTGAAAGCCAGTTTCATTTGTGATTACAACTGTACAAACTTTCAACAAAATTCTAGCAAATAAAATATAGTCATATATCAGGATACTACATTATAACTGAATTGGGTTTACTTCAGGCACACAAAGAACACATCTGGGAACTCCTGCAGGGGGCAGTACATGTGGCTTGTGCACACAGGCAGAAGCCCTGTGCGGCGGGAGGCCACACTGACTGAAGCTAAGCAGGTGGCTGGCTGCAAGTCTGATCGGGCAGAGAGAAGACACACAATTGAGACAGACAGGATGTGGGTGAAGTGACTGAGGGCTGCAGTAAAGAAGGGTAAGCAAGAATGATTCCCAGACATTATCCAATGATCAAAAGGAATGAGTTATGAATCAATGCATAGATGATTTTCCAAATAACTGTGCTTAATGGAAGGGGTGACTGCCCCTCTCACCCAAAACAGAGCATGCATACAATTTCGCATATACTAAACTAGGGAGTTTTAACTCATCTAGAATCATGAGCAACTGCTTGGGGGGTAGGAGGAAGGGTGGCAGAGGCAGGAGGGCCTTTCAGGGTGACAAATGTATTCTCTTCACATGGTGATGCTTAACCCTGTGCAGGTTAGGACTTGTCAAACCATACACTTGGAGTTTATGCAGTTTATTGAATGCTAGCTATACTGCAATACACCAGCCGGGCAAGGGATCTCTCCTGGGTCTTGGGAGGTGGGATGGCAGCGTGTTAGTGGTACTCACATCCCCTTTCATGGGAGAACTTGAAGAACAAGGATGTGGCGGGCTAAATACACCTGCTTTATTCTGGTTCTTTTTGATGCAACATGCAATTGCGAATACTGAGAATGCCGTTAGAAATACATCTGATGTTTAGGAAAGAGGTCTTGGGTCACAACACAGAGAAACCCTTCCAACATTCTTCTACCAAGGGTTGCCACAAAGAAACCATCCTACAAACCTGCAAAAGGAGTGTGCCTGAGGATGGTGCACATTCTTCCAAAGCAATTTCACCAAAGTAACTTCAGTTAGGACTGGATGCCAAAGGCAGAGACCTTGATTTAATCTGGGTTTCCTTGCGTGCTCTCATTGGCTCACATAACTGGAAAGTACACAGAGAGGATTGGGATCCACCTGGTTCAGGGCTCCAGTGGCGACAGACCCACATCTGAGCTGTGCGTTCTCTGGTTGCCTTCATTTCCAGGCCACTAATGTCTGTGGCTCCAGAATGACATTCTCATGCTGCAGAGGCTTAAGGAGCAAAGTGAAGAGCTCTCCCACCCACACACATCTTCCTTTTCCCTCTGTGACTCGAGTGTCCTCTGGTGGTAGGTTAGGATATGATAGTGGCAACCACGGTAGGTAATGGGCCTACAAGTGGAGAAGGGAAAAGGCTCAGAGGAAACACTCAGTTGCCACTGGCAACAGTTATAAGGAGGAAATGGATGATGGGTGCAGCTCAGGGGTCATTTTTTTTTTTTTTTTAAAGAGAGAGAGAGGGAGAGAGAATTTTAATATTTATTTTTTAGTTATTGGCGGACACAACATCTTTGTTTGTAGGTGGTGCTGAGGATCGAACCCGGGCCGCATGCATGCCAGGTGAGCGTTCTACCGCTTGAGCTACATCCCCAGCCCCTCAGGGGTCAGTTTTTTCTGGACATTGGTCCAGCCAAATAAACCATGTGGGAGGTTCTTGCAATACTGCCCTTTTTTTTGGTACTGGGGAATTGAATCCAGGGGTACTAACCCACTGAGCCACATCTCCAGCCGTTTTTGTTTTGAGATAGGACTTTGCTAAGTTGTGTGGGACCTTGTTAAGCTGCTGAGGCTGGCCCTGAACTTGCAATCCTCCTGCCTCAGGCTCACTCTTTGCTGGGATTACAGGCTTGGCTACTGTGGCCAGCAACACTATCTTTAAATGAGATGGTACCTGTGTTCTCACTGGAGAGCTGCCTATTCTGTCATGCTGAGCCTCTGCTTTCCCTTCACTCTGCTCTGACAGATCCAGGGTTCATAATCTGCTTGCCTCTTCATTCCTTGCCATTTCTAATTGCATCAAAGCAGGAATCTTAGCCTGGTGCAGTAGCACATGCCTATAATCCCCATGGCTGCGTTATATGTGTTTGAATTTAAATCATATTTTGTTCTGTGAATTTGAAGCAATTTACAAAAGTATATGCCTATCAGGGTGAATAAATAGCTGAGGAAACTATATTGAAAGGAAAAAACAGAAAAACCAAAGGCAGAGGAAGTAGCAGAATGCATCCAACAAATCCTCTAGTTACAAAAGGTGAATTTAAATTGGATTTCAAGCTCCTTAGTTGAAGAAGAGAGGAGAGCATAATTAGTTGCAAGATTCCGTTACCCAGAAAATCAAACAATTCTGTGGTTTGGATAATGTGTTTTCTTCCTAATGAGTGTTAAAAGCAGTGTCTTCAAATTTCTGTCAAGTTACCATTGTGTGTAGTTACTGAAGTTACTTTGGTAAAATTGCTTTGCAAGAATTTGCATTTTCTTCAGCCATACCCCTTTTGCAGGTTTGTAGGATTATTTCTTCATGGCAACCCTTGGTTGCCACATATAATGCAAATTAACTTAATTTATATGTCCAAGTTTTTTTTTTTTTAGAGAGAGAGAATTTTTAATATTTATTTTTTAGTTTTCGGTGGACACAACATCTTTGTTTGTATGTGGTGCTGAGGATCGAACCCGGGCTGCACGAATGCCAGGCGAGCGCGCTACCGCTTGAGCCACATCCCCAGCCCCTATGTCCAAGTTTTTATGATTTGCCTCTAACCTTTATTCTCAGCTTTACATGCTACTTGAGCCTTAATATGCATATGGAAATAATACTCAGATTTTGCCCAAACTTAAGATCCCCCCCCCTTTTTTTTTGCAGGGGGGCGGGTACCAGGGATTGAACTCAGGGGCACTTATCACTGAGCCACATCCCCACCCCTATTTTGTATTTTATTTAGAGACAGGGTCTCACTAGTTGCTTAGTACCACACTTTTGCTGAGGCTGGCTTTGATCTCTCGATCCTCCTGCGTCAGCTTCCCAGCCGTTGGGATTACAGGTGTGTGCCACTGTACCCGGCTAAGATTCCTGCTTTGATGCAATTAGAAATAGCAAGGAATGAAGAGGCAAGCAGATTCTGAACCCTGGATTTGTCTTTAGAAAATTACTTAACCTCTTTCAACTTCAATTTCTTCATCTGTAAAAGGACATCTTGCAGAACTGCTATAAGGATTAGAGATGTTTTACATAAAAGCACACAGCACTACTCAAAAACAGATGTTGATAAAACAATCATCATTTGCCATTCACTGGCTGGCACATCTTGGAAATTATCTCTGGTTTCTTGCTTTTTTTTTAAGTATGAGAAACTTATCTAATTGAGGTTTTTCAGGAATTGTATGACTATAAGGAAACATATATGGACACACATAAAGCAGCTGACATATAGCTTCCCTTCTTGACTGGTCTTCACCTGAAAAGATCTTTCCTAACCAACTCTGTTAAAATGCAAACCTTTTTCTAAGATATAGTTAAAACAGCATCCTTCCTATTTTTCTAGTGGTAATTAGTCCTGCTTTCTCAAAATTCTCTACTGGACTTTTAAAAATCTCGTTACAACTTATTATTGGTTTTGTCTTTTTTGCCCTTCCAAGTTCAAGTTTCTGGCCAGTGGATTGTTCTTACTTCTGACTCCCCTGTAACACCTTGGTATGCTCAGAGTAGTCATTGTCTATTGCTTTGAACTAACTTTGCTGAGCCTCTGACATCATGTTAGACTGCTTCTGACTTCCTTGAACAAATGGTTATTCTCTGGTCATTTATCATTTACTTTTTTTTTTGAGGTGGGGGTACTGGGTATTGAACTCAGGGGCACTGGACCACTAAGCTACATCCCCAGCCCTATTTTGTATTTTTCAAATTCAGAGACAGGGGCTCACTGAATTGCTTAGCACCTCACTTTTGCAGAGCCTGGCTTTGAACTTGCTATCCTCCTGTCTCAGCCTCCCAAGCCGCTGGGATTACAGGTGTAGTCCACAGTACCCAGCTTATCGTTTACTCTTAACCTGGCCTAATACTTTGTTGCCCTGCAGGCACATCACTTAGTGGAATGACTGGGCCACACCAAAAAATGCAGGATGAACACATCTGAAACTCTTTAAGTTTTAACATATTAACATTTAATGTATCAAGGAAACATCACTGACTTCTGGCTATGTCCTCCGAGGTCCAAGGTCCACCATCTGGATGCATTTAAGTTCCAAGGCTTTTGCCCTTGCAAGGATGGTTTGGCAATGACGCTGTCTGAGGCATCCAGAAATGCTGCAGGAAGATGAGGTGCTCAGCAGAGATGTTCCTGGAATCAAACCAATGTATGTAAACCCAAATGAATACAGGATAAAGGCCTGGAACATAAACCACCCTTGGTTCAACCTGTGGTGACTCCCTAGGGTTCCAATACCTTAGGGACAAGCTGCCAAAGGGCTGGGATGATGCAACTGGCGGGCTACACTTCGGAGCCTGATCAGGCCATGGGCCCTGATGCTTGAGAATGGGCTAAGCTGGGGCCCCCAATACCCACCGACAGGATGGTTCACCCCACGGACCCAATGCCAAGGATGGATACGCCTCCCCACGGTCCCGGTGTTTCCGGAGTCACAGGCCGCTGTGGTCCTCGTGGCCGCTGAGGGTCCAGCTCCAAGGTTCCCCGTGCCCGCGGAGGAGACAGGCCTCGCTGGTTCCCTTGCCCGAGGAGGGACCGGCCTCCCAGGTCTACGTGCCCGCTGAGGGGACAGACCTTCCTGGTCCCCGTGCCCACCGAGGGCCACCCTGAGGGCCCCGGGCCCGTGGACCCACAGGCCACGCGCGGACACCGGCCGCCCGCGGACCGGCAGGTGACGCCGCCGCCCGCCGGGCCGCGCATGCGCGCCGCGCCGCCCCCGCCCCCACCGCGCCCGCGCCCAACGCC